GCATTCCCACCAACAGTGTAAGAGGGTTCCCTTTTCTCCACACCCTCTCCAGCATTTATTGCTTGTAGACTTTTGGATAGCAGCCATCCTGACTGGAATGTAATGGTACCTCATTGTGGTTTTGATTTGCATTTCTCTGATAATGAGTGATGTTGAGCATCTTTTCATGTGTTTGTTAGCCATCTGTATGTCTTCCTTGGAGAATTTTTGAAGAGATCTCTAGCCTTTCCCATTCTATTGTTTTCCTCTGTTTCTTTGCACTGATCACTGAGGTAGGCTTTCTTATCTCTCCTTGCTATTCTTATCTCTCCTTGCATTGAAATGGGTATATCTTTCCTTTTTCCTTTGCTTTTCACTTCTCTTCTCAGCTATTTGTAAGGCCTCCTGAGACAGCCATTTTGCTTTTTAGCATTTCTTTTTCTTGGGGATGGTCTTTCTCACTGCCTCCTTTACAATGTCATGAACCTCTGCCCATAGTTCATCAGGCACTCACTAGATCTATCAGATCTAGTGCCTTAAAGCTATTTCTCACTTCCACTGTATAATTGAAAAGGATTTGATCTAGGTCATACTTGAATGGTCTAGTGGTTTTGCCTACTTTCTTCAATTTAAGTCTGAATTTGCCATAAGGAGTCCATGATCTGAGCCACAGTCCACTCCTGGTCTTGTTTTTGTTGATTGTATAGAGCTTCTCCATCTTTGGTTGCAAAGAATATAATCAATCTGATTTTGGTACTGACCATCTGGTGATGTCCATGTGTAGAGTCTTCACCTGTGTTGTTGGAAGAGGGTGTTTGCTATGACCAGTGTGTTCTCTTGGCAAAACTCTGTTAGCCTTTGTCCTGGTTCATTTTGTACTCCATGTTGTACTCCAAACTTACCTACTATTCCACGTGTCTCTTGACTTCTTACTTTTGCATTCCAGTCCCCTATAAAGACAAAGACATCTTTTTCGGGTGTTAGTTCTAGAGAGTCTTGTAGGTGCCTCCTAGAACCATTCAACTTCAGCTTCTTCAGCATTACTGGTTGGGGCATCGACTTGGAATACCTTGATATTGAATGGTTTGTCTTGGAATGAACAGAGATCATTCTGTCATTTTTGAAGTTGCGTCCAAGTATTGCATATCAGACTCTTTTGTTGCCTATGATGGCTCCTCTGTTTCTCGTGAGGGATTCTTTCCCACAGTAGTAGATAATGGTCATCTGAGTTAAATTCACCCATTCTAGTCCATTTTAGTTCACTGATCCCTAAAATGTCGTTGCTCACTCTTGCCATCTCCTGTTTGACCGCTCCCAGTTTGCCTGACTCACGGGCCTAACATTCCAGATTCCTATGCAATATTGTTCTCTATAGTGTCAGCCCTTGCTTCCATCACCAGTCACATCCATTACTGGGTGTTTTTTTTTTTTTCCTTTGGCTCCGTCTCTTTATTCTTTCTGGAGTTATTTCTCCACTGATCTCCAGTAGCCTATTGAGCAGCTACAGAGCTGGGGAGTATGATATTAGTGTTAGTATTAGTTAGTATTAGTATGTTATTGATGTTATTAGTGTTTTCTTTAGTGAAGGATTTCTAGGAATAAATTCTGTCTGAACTTTACCTGGATTCCCCAAATGTTAGGTTAGTATTTTCCTTTAATCCTTCTTTCTTTCTATCCTCTCTCTCCCTCACTCTAATTTTCTCTCTCTCTCTCTCTCACTCTAGCTTTCCCTCTCTCTCCTTCTTTGTCCCCCCTGCCCCATTTTTCCCTGAGTGTGTAAAATATTTCTGGGTTAAGTTGCAGACATGATGCTCCTTTATCCCTCCCTCCCAACAACTACAACAAAATACTTCAGGGAATTTCCTTACATAACCACAGTTCAGTCAAACTTTTAGAGCTGTTGGCTCCAGATGACATCTAAGTGTAACCACATGAGAAACCCCAAAGGTAGAACTGCCAAGTTGAATCTTTCCCAGATTACTGACCCAGGAAATCATGAGCAAAATTTAAAAAAAAATTCCTTCAACTGCTAAGTTTGGGGGAAATTTTGTTATACAGCATTATTAAACAGGCACTTACCATATGACCAGCATTTCTAAATAGAGCAATATCTATCCTCTGATCTTGCATTTGACTATTTCTACTTTATGTTGATCTAATGTGCTGATACATGCGTTCTCGAGTTCTTAATTCAGCTATTAACTTTTACAGCTCTAGAATTATCATTTGTTTTTGTTATCATTTCTCTGCCAAGATACACATTGTGTTAATTAATTCTTTGAGAACTTAATTCTCTGTCAGACTATAAAACTCTTAGAGGAAAGCATAGGTAGAACACTGTTTGACATTAATTGCAGTAAGATCTTTTTTGACCAACCTTCTAGAGTAAGTAAAATAAAAACAAAATAAACAAGTAGGGCCTAATTAAACTTAAAAGTTTTTGCATAGCAAAGGAAGCCATAAACAGAACAAAAAGACAACTCTCAGAATGGGAGAAAATATTTGCAAATGAAGCAACTGACAAGGGATTAATATTCAAAATACACAAACAACTCAATATCAGCAAACCAAACAATCCAATGAAAAAATGGGAAAAAGACCTAAATAGACATTTTTCCAGACATACAGATGGCTAACAAATGCATGAAAAGGTATTCAACATCACTAATTATTAGAGAGATGCAAATCAAAACTACAGTCAGGTATTACTTCACACCAGTCAATGTCTATCATTAAAAAATCTGCAAACAATAAATGCTGGAGAGAATGCACAGAAAAGGGAATCCTCCTACTGTGGGTATGTAAATTGGTATAACTACTATGGAGAACAGTATGGAGGTTCCTCAAAAAACTAAAAATAAAACTATCATAGGACTCAGCAATCCCACTCCTGGCCATATATAATATAATATATATAATATAATATAATAATGATTTTCCTGGAGAAAATCATTATTCAAAAAGACACATTCATCCTGATGTTCACTGCAGCACTATTTACAACAGTCAGGACACAGAAGCAACCTAAATGTCCCTCACAGGAGGAATGGATAGAGGAGACGTGATACATATATAAAATGGAATATTACTCAGCCATAAAAAGGAAAAAAAGTTATGTCATTTGCAGAGACATGGATAGCCTTGGAGATTGTCATGTAGAGTGAAGTTAATCAGAAAGAGAAAAACAAATATTGTATAACATCACCTCTATGTGGTATCTAGAAAAATGGTAGAGATGAACCTAATGCAAAGCAGAAATAGAAATGCCACAAAGATAACAAATATATGGACACTAAGAGGGGAAATGAAGAGTGGGATGAATTGGGACGTTGACATTGGCATATACATACTATTGATGTGCTATGCTTTGTGCTTAGTCCCTCAGTCAGGTCCGACTCTTTGTGACCCCATGGACTATAGCCCTCCAGGCTCCTCTGTCCATGGGGATTCTCCAGGAAAGAACAGTGGAGTGGGTTGCCATGCCCTTCTCCAGGGGATTTTCCCAACCCAAGGATCAAACTCAGGTCTCTTGCATTGCAGGCGGATTCTTTACCACATGAACCACCAGACTCAAAAACCCTACACTATTGGTACTAAATATAAGATAGATATTGCTTGGAGAATCCCATAGACATGGAGCCTGACAGGCTACAATCCACAGTGTCACAGAGTCAGACACGACTGAAGTGACTTAGCATGCACGCACACATAATAACATATTGTATAGCACAGGGAACGCTACTTAGTGTTCTGTGGTGACCTCAATAGGAAGTAAATCCAAGAAAGAGGGGATATACATGTGTGTGTGTGTGTGTGTGTGTGTGTGTGTGTGTGTGGTTGCTGTTGTTTAGTTGCTGAGTTGTGTCCAATTCTTTTGTGACCCCTTGGACTGCAGCCTGCTATGCTCCTTTGTCCATAGTATTTCCCAGGCAAGAATACTGGAGTGGCTTGCCATTTCTTTCTCCAGGGGATCTTCCCAACCCAGGGGTGGAACCCCAGTCTCCTGTTTGGCAGGTAGATTCTTTACCATTGAGTCATCTAGGAAGCCCATATGTATATGTATAACTTTTTAAATTTGCTGTACAGCAGAAGTTACCACAACGTTGTAAAGCAATTATACTCAAATAAAAATTAACAAAAATAAATAAGATATATTCTCTAAATACCCTGGGAAATTTTTTAATGTTTCTTTTTCCTCTTGGTTTTCCATGAGATCTCTTTTACAGACATATTTTTTAAAACACAAACATTGTAGATAAAAAATTGTACAAATCCTTCAGAAAGGATCTTGTTTTGCTTCTTCTATTTAAGCCATAGATTTAAGGACAGACCAATTTATTTAAACCCATTCTTAAGGCAAAGCTTGGCTTAAAACAAGAATTGTGGCCTTGTCAGTACCAGGGCTCTTCATAGAGAAAGGAAGCACTAAGATTATGATAACTTTACTGGTATGTTGCAGCTTTCATCACAGCTCCATCGCTAGGTCATCATTTATTTTTTTTCTTTTGAAATTTTTACTTTGTATTGGGGTATAGCCGATTAACAGTGTTAACTATAGTTTCAGGTGAATAGCCAGGGACACAGCCATACATATACATGTATCCATTTCCCCCCAAATTCCCCTCCCCTCCTAAAAATCATTTAGTTTAACTGAGTTTCCTGTTGTTCAACCTTCCCAACCCTCTAATCATTGCTGTTTCTTCAGGAAATCAGACCCAGGTGCTGCCCCAGTGCAACGACTCCGTGTCTGAACCAGCAGGGTCTGCAGCCTCAGAGGAGAGCGCCCCCTACTGCTCAGGTGAGGGTCCCACAGGACAGAAGACCCTTCTCATTCCCTCGGTCACCGCCCCATTGTCCCATTTCTCTCTCCTCAGACAGCAGACAGCTCCGCCTGGTGGAAGGGGGCAGTCCCTGCGCGGGGAGAGTGGAGATCTTTGACCAGGGCTCCTGGGGCACCATCTGTGATGACGGCTGGGACCTGGACGATGCCCGCGTGGTGTGCAGGCAGCTGGGCTGTGGAGAAGCCCTCAATGCGACGGGGTCTGCTCACTTCGGGGCAGGATCAGGGCCCATCTGGCTGGACGACCTGAACTGCACTGGAAATGAGTCCCACGTGTGGAGATGCCCTTCCCGGGGCTGGGGGCGGCACAACTGCAGACACAAGGAGGACGCGGGTGTCGTCTGCTCAGGTCTGTGCTGCACACTGTCCACAGTTTGGGGGAGGGGTGGGACTCTGGAGGACGAGGATTTGAACCCCGAGGGAGAGATGCTGAAAGGACAAGAGAAGGAGGCTTCCTCCCATGGAGCCCATCTCTCCAGCAGACAAGAAGATGAGGTGCTTTCATTTCCTCCTGCAGCAGGTGACGATTTGGTCCTTTCTTCTCAATAGTGTTCCCTGGCAGAGCCTTTCCTCACAGTTTTTCTTGAAATCAGGGCTCACCCTTCTGGTACATATGGTAGAGATGTCTTAAAGCCATGGTGCTAGTTTTTGTTTGTTCTGTAACAAATTGCCACATAGTTAATGGTTTAAAACAACACATTTATTTCCTTACACTTCTGTATCTTAGATATCCAGCAGGGATCTCACTGGACTGGGATCAAGGTTTCAGCAGGGCCACATCACTTCTGAGCCTCTGGGAAAGAATCTGTTTCGTGTTTTTTCAAGCTTCTAGAAACCGCCTGCCTTCCTTCACTTAAAACCCCATTCTGTTCATCATCAGACCAGCAACGCTCCACTTTAACCATTATTCATATTCACATGTCCCTCTAGCCAGAATGAGGAAAAGTATTCCACTTTAAAGGATAGTGAGGCTGAGAATGTGATTAGGTTGTGCTCAGGTGGTTAATCCACCATATTTCAGGTGAATCTCAAGGTCCTTACCTTAATCACATATGTAAAGTCCCTTTTGCCAGATAAGGAAACATAGACATAGGTTCCACATAGACATATGTGGGTCCATTATTCTATCTGCCTCCACATTATCCACATCACATCCCTTTCATACACTCTTTAGATGTTTTGTCAGGAAGCAGGAGTCAGCTCCCTCCCCCTGCAGGTGTCCAGGCTGGTCTTCCTCTCAGTTCTTATCCACCACATCATGGTGGTAGAAATATTTAGACAGACACAAATGGACAAAGTCGGATAGAAAAGAGACAAGTTTCACTCTGGTCATCTAATGGATTTACTTCCTCAGCTGGGTCACAGATGAGTGTTCACAATTTTGGGGAGAGAGGAAAACCCAGAGCACTGAATGCAGTGCTCACTGTGTCCTGTCTTTTCCATTTCGATCTTAGAGTTCCTGGCCCTCAGGATGGTCAGCGAGGACCAGCAGTGTGCTGGATGGCTGGAAGTTTTCTACAATGGGACCTGGGGCAGTGTCTGCCGCAGCCCCATGGATGATGTCACCGTGTCCATCATCTGCAGACAGCTTGGCTGTGGGGACAGTGGAAGTCTCAACACTTCTGTTGGCCTCAGGGGAGGTTCTAGACCCCAGTGGGTAGATTTAATCCAATGTCGGAAAACTGATACCTCTCTCTGGCAGTGTCCTTCTGACCCATGGAAATACAGTTCATGCTCTCCAAAGGAGGAAGCCTACATCTCATGTGCAGGTGACTTACGTCTGTTTCTGTCTGTCCAAACACTGTAGGATGTTATTAGTGAGATTTGATATTTTAAAATCTAAGTAATGTGTTTAAGTTGAGATTATAAAATGAAGTTTGGATGGAACTAATTTGATCCATGTGTTTCAAACTTGCTTTATTAAAAAATTTTGATATAATTGACATAACTTTATATTGTTTGCCATTGCAACATAATGGTTATGTATTTTTGTATATTGATAAATGATCACTGCAGTAAGTCTAGTTATATCCATCACCATATATGTAGTTAAACATTTTTCTTATATGATAAGAATGTTGAAGATATATTTTCTCACCATCTTTCAAATAGACAATACAGTATTCACTATGGTCACCATGCTATCTTCACTTATTAATTTTATAACTTACATTTATACCTTTTGACTACCTTTGCCCACACCAAATTCCCCACCTCTGGCAGCCACAAACTACTCAGCATCTCTGAACTTGCTTATTGCTTTAAGATTACACATATAAATGAGATCATATGTTGTTTTTCTTTCTCTGTCTGATTTGTTTCACTTAGCATAATGCCCTCAAGGTCCATCCATGTTGTTGAAACTGGCAAGATTTTCTTCTTTTTTGTGGGTGGATATATGTCTGCATTACATTTTCTTTATTCATCTATCCATCAGTGAAGACTTACATTGTTTGGCTCTTGTAAATATTGCTATAAAATACTAAAAAATGATGCTGTTAAAGTGCTACGGCCAATATGTCAGCAAATTTGGAAAATTCAGCAGTGGCCACAGGACGGGAGGGGGTTTTCATCCCAATCTCAAAGAAGGGCAATGCCAAAACATGTTCAAACTACCCCACAATTGTGCTCATTTCACATGCTAGCAAGGTTATACTCAAAGTCTTTCAAGCTAGGCTTCAGCAGTAAGTAAACTGGGAACTTCCAAGATGTACAAGCTGGATTTCGAAAAGGCAGAGGAACCAGAGGTCAAATTGCCAACATTTGTTGGATCATAGAGTAAGCAAGAGAATTCCAGAAAACATGTGCTTCACTGACTACACTAAAGTCTTTGACCATGTGGATCTCAAGGAACTGTGGAAAATTCTTAAAGAGATGAGAATATCAGACCACCTTACCTGCCTCCTGAGAAATCTGGATGCAGGTCAAGAAACAGCAGTTAGAACTGGACGTGAAACAACCGACTGGTTCCAAATTGGGAAAGGAGTTCATTAAGGCTGTATATTGTCACCCTGTTTATTTAACTTATATGCAGAGTACATCATGGGAAATACCTGGCTGGAAAAATCACAAGATGGAATCTGGATTGCTGTGAGAAATACCTACAACCTCAGATACGCAGATGATACCATCCTAATGGCAGAAAGTGAAGAGGAATTGAAGAGCCTCTTGTTGAGGGTGAAAGAGGAGAGTGAAAAAGCTGGATTAAAGCTCAACATTCTAAAAACTAAGATTATGGCTTCTGGCCCCATCACTTCATGGCAAATAAAAGGGGGAAAAGTGGAAACAGTGACAGATTTTCTTTTCTTGGGCTCCAAAATCACTGCCAATGCTGTTTTCAGCTATGAGATTAAAAGAGGCTTGCTCCTTGGAAGGAAAGTTATGAGAAACCTAGACAGAGTATTAAAAAGCAGAGACATCACTTTGCTGACAAAGGTCCATATAGTCAAAGCTATGTTTTTTCCATTAGTCATGTATGGATGTGAGAGTTGGATTATAAAGAAGCTGAATGCTAAAGAGTTGATGATTTTGAATTGTGATGCTTGGACACCACAATTGAATTGAGAGTCCTTTGGGCAGCAAGGTGATCAAACCAATCGACCGTAAAGGAAATCAACCCTGAATATTCTTTGGAAGGACTGATGCTGAAGCTGAAGCTCCAGTACTTTTGCCACTTGATGAGAAGAGCTGACTCATTGGAAAAGACCTTGCTGCTGGGAAAGACTGAAGGAAAAAGAAGGAGCCACCCCTGTGGCTACAGGTGATGAGATAGTTAGATAGCATCACCAGTTCAGTGGACCTGAATTTGAGCAAACTTTGGGAGATAGTGAAGGACAGAGGAACCTGATGTGCTGCAGTCCATGGGGTTGCAAAGAGTCAGACACAGCCTAGCAACTGAACTGAACATTGCTGCACTGAACATTGGGTTTTCAAGTTAGGGTTTTTGTTTCCTTCATATAAATACCCCAAATTAAAATTATTAAATCATATGGCAGTTCTGCTTTTAATTTTTGATGTACCTCAACTGTTTTCATAATGGCTGCATCAACTTACATTCCCTCTAACTGTGCAAAAGCTTTCCTGTTTCTTCATATTCTCAACTCCGGTTATTTCTTCTTTTTGATAAAAGCCTTTCTAGAGGATATGAGGTGATATCTTGTTGTGGTTTTGATTTGTATCTTCTGATGATTAGTAGTGTTGAGCCCATTTTCATGTACCTATTGGCAAGTTGTATGTATTCTTTAAAAAATTTCTATTCAGGTTCTCTGCCCATTTTTTAAAAATCAGATTTTTTTTTGCAACTGAGTTGTTTAAATTCCTTGTGTACTTTGGATAATAATCCTTACCAGAAATATAATATGCAAATATTTTCTCCAATTCCCCAGGTTGCTTTTTCATTTTGTTGATGGTTTCCTTAATTGGGCAGAAGCTTTTTAGCCTTATGTCATCACAACTGTTTTTTTTCACTCTCATTCCCTTTGCTTTTGGTGTCAAATCCAAAAAATTATCACAAAGAATCACATCAAGGGTTTTATTTTCTGTTTTTTTCTGTACAAATTTTGTGACTTCAAGACTTGTGATCAAGTCTTTAATCTACTTTGAGTAAATTTCTGTGAATGGTGTAAGATAGTGGTCCAATTTCATGCTTTTGCATGTGGCTGTCCAGTTTTCCCCATGCCATTTACTGAAAACACTGCCCTTTCCCCACAGTATATTCTTGGCTTCCTTGTCAGAAGTTAATTTGCCATAGAAATGTGGGTTTATTTATGGGCTCTCTATTCTGTTCCATTGATCTCTGTGTCCATTTTTATACCAAGAACATACTGTTTTGATTAATATAGTTTTGTAATACTGTTTGAAATCAGGAAGCATGACACCTCTAGCTTTGTTATTCATTCTCAAAATTGCTTTGGTGTTCAGCATCTTTTGTAATTCCATGTAAATTTTAGGATTGTTTGTTCTGTATCTGTGAAAATTTCCATTGAAATTTTGATAAGGATTGGTTTGGGTAGTATGGGCATGTTAATAATATTAGATTTTCCAATCCATGAGCACAGAATATCTTTCCATTTATTTGAGTCTTCTTCAGTATCTTTCATCAATATCTTATAGTTTTCAGTGTACAGGTCTTTCACCTCCTTGGTTAAATTTATTCCTAGGCTTTTTATTCATTTTTCATGCAAATGCAAATGGAATTGTTTTCTTAGTTTCTCCTTATGGCAGTTTGTTGTTAGTGTATAGAAATGCAACTGATTTTTGTATATAGATTTTTCATTCTACAACTTTACTGATTGTATTAGTTCTCATATGTTTGGTGAAGTCTTCAGTGTTTTCTACATATAATATCAAGTAAGGGAGTTTCTTTCCTCATGACTTGAATGGTAAAGAATCCATCTGCAATGCAAGAGACCCAGGTTCAATTCCTGGGTCGGAAAGATCCCCTGGAGGAGGAAATGGCAACCCACTGCAGTATTCTTGTCTAGAGAATCCCATGGATAGAGGAGCCTAGTGGGTTATAGTCCTTGGGGTAGCAAAGAGACAGACATGAATGAGTGACTAACACTTTCATTTTTCAATCTGGAAATAGTGTCAGTTTTGCCTCTTCCTTTCAGACTTGGATGTCTTGATTTTCTTTTTATTGCGTGACGGATCTGGATAGGGCTAAAAAAACTAAGTTGAATAAAAGTGGTGAAAGTAGACATTTTTGTCTTGTGTCTGATTTCAGAGGAAAAGCTTTTTTTTTTTACAGTCAAGTATGATGGTAGCTGTGAACTTCTCACATGGCCTTAATTATGCTGATATGCAATCCTTCTATATGTACTTTGTAAAAGAATTTTTACCATAAATGGTTGTTGAATACGATTTTTATCTTCATTTTGCTTATTTGGTGTATCACATTGATTAATTTGTGAGTGTTGAACTATCCTTGCATTCTTGGAACAAATATCACTTGATCATGCTGTATGATTCTTTTAACATATTGTCAAATTCAGTTTTCTAATATTTTGTTGAAGATTTTTGCACTTATGTTTATCAGAGTATTAGTCCATAATTTTCTTTTCTCATGGTTTCCTTATCTGGCTTTGGTATGAGAATAATGTTGGCCTCATAAAGTGAATTTGGAAGTGTTTCTTTCTTCTGTTTTCAGAAGAGTTTGAGAAGGCTCCACAATTAAATACTGTTACATTGGGAATAGAGATTTTGACAGTAAATGTTGAATGAAACAAATAAATGTTGAGAAGGGTGACAAATAGTCAAACCATAGCACCTGACTTCCTTCCACATTTCTCTCTCTGTTTCTCTCCTTCCCTCCCCCTCCACATACACAAACCCACAGGTAAGAATGTGGCGAGAGATATTTCAAAGCAGAGTCTCACTCCCTTCCTTGCCTCTCTTTGTTCATCTCTTTGTCTTTTCCATTTGAAGAGCAAAGAGGGCATTAAACTGTTAGACCTTTTACTGATGATATTTTCCCTACAATTAAACCCCGTGAACTGAGAGGTGGCAAAGTCTTTGACCATGAAAATGAGCAACCCCCTCACAGAGGTCCTGCCATCATTTTCTCAGAGGTTCTCTGCCAAGAGTGGGTAGGAGGTTTGATAGGATGATCTGAAAAGAATATACAAATTTTGATACTTTATGACAGGTACTATTTACCCTTATGGTTTTATGTGTGTGTGTGTGTGTGTGTGTGTGTGTGTGTGTGTGTGTGTGTGTTGTTGTTGTTGTTGTTGTTGTTTTGAATTTGTATTTATTTCTGTCAGCTTCAATTCTTTTATGTATATTTTCCAGTCTTTTGTTTGTTGTTTGCAGGAAGAAGACCCAAGAGCTGCCCAGCTGCTGCCCCCTGCACAGGTACGTCAGCCCCGCCCCCTCCCCAGGGCCGCAGGGGCTCCTTCCTCCCACCAGGGGCGTCACAGGAGGGGCTGCTGCCTTTTCAGACAGAGAGAAGCTCCGGCTCAGGGGAGGAGACAGCGAGTGCTCAGGGCGGGTGGAGGTCTGGCACAGCGGCTCCTGGGAGGGGTGAGGTGCTCTGGTGAGTGAGGGGCGCGGGTCCGCCCTGGTGAGTGAGGGGCGCGGGTCCGCCTTGGGTGAGTGAGGGGCGCGGGTCCGCCGTGGTGAGTGAGGGGTGCGGGTCCGCCCTGGTGAGTGAGGGGCTCGGGTCCTCCCTGGGTGAGCTGGGGCAGCGCTGCGGCAGTGGGCTGGGCCGGGCGTGGTGGGGAGTTTGTGTCCAGACAGCATCCTGGTGCTGGGGCTCTAATCTAGGACGGGGAAGCTGGGAGGACTGGACTGATATTGTGGAGACTGAGGGGTGATTTCAGGCTCAGGAGGGAAAATTGGGATGCCCTGCATCTGGCCAATCACCCTGCTCCAAACTGCTGTTTTTCTCTTTAGGTGCAGGGTCAACATTGCCCCTGACTACAGCAGGTACTGTGCCTCCATCTACAGGCAGGGGAGAATACTCAGATTCTGGGGACCTGTTCTGTGGGCCTTCTGACAACTCAGGAGAGGAAAGAGTCTGACCAGCCCATGGCTGGTGGGGAGGAGCCAGGGTATTACTTTGGGGAAATTCCCTGCCTTGGTTCCCAGGGTCAAATGTTCTCATGCCTGGGGGTCCAAGTGGGTTTGGTTTCCATATTGCAGAATCTAAGTATCTCCCACCTGCCCCTCAGTGTTGCTCCTCATCAGTGAGGTGCAGATCCCAGAACTGTTTGATGCTCTGTCTCCTGAAGCCCAAGGAGAAGGGATGAGCTGGGTCGTCAGAGGCTCAGCAGGGCAGCTCCCTACAATCCCCAGCTCTGCCTTGGAGCAACACTGGCTGGAGTGGAGTTAACTCATCTCAGGACGAGACCCTGGGGAGCTGGTCAATGTCTGAGGCTGGGACGCCATCATCCGGAGCTCCTGGAAATTCTGGTACAGGGGTTTCTCTGTGCCCAGGACCTATTCTAACCCTCTTCCCTTGTTCTCTTTAGGGACCAGATCAGCCTCAAATCCTCTCCCTGGCATCTTCTCCCTGCCTGGGGTCCTCTGCCTCATCCTGGGGTCCCTTCTCTTCCTGGTCCTTGTCATCCTGGTGGCTCAGGTGCTCAGATGGAGAGCAGAGAGGAGAGGTGGGCTGCAGGCATACCTGGGGACCAGGGAGCGTGTGTGCAGGCAGGAGATGGGGCAGGTGTGAGGAGGGGAACCTGGGCCAGGTCTCTGTTCTGAGTCTGAAGAACTCCATGTGCTCCATGCTGTGCTCTAAGGGCTGAATAGACAGAGGTTCTTCGGACTAGGGTGTGAACTCTCATAAGTCATGGCCTCTCCTTTGAGACCAGACAAGTTGGGGCTGAGTTGTGGGTTCAGGTCAGATGAGGGGAGAAGGTGCTGACACAGTTCATTGGGTAGGAAATGATGCTGAGATCCTGGCAACCCCGTGTGAGCATTGGGAAGAATAAGGGTGGGCCAGCTGGATCGGGGTGTCTAGGGTGGCATCTCTTACCTGCTGGGGGTCTCAGCCTGCTGGATGGGGGTGTCTGGGTAGCACCTCTGACCTACTGGGGGATCTCTCAGCCTTATCCAGCTATGAAGATGCTCTTGCTGAAGCCGTGTATGAGGAGCTCGATGACTTTGTGACTCGAAAGGAGGGTCTTCTTGGTAGCCCAGGTGGGTGTCTCTGCCTGCCTTCCTGGGACATCTGGTCATCACCACTCACTGGCTGTGCAGGTCTTTTCAGCATCCACAGACCCCACATGTGCCCCAGGCTCACAGAAGCAGCTCTTCCAAAATGGTGGGATAGCCTCTTGAGCCCTGTGAGCCCCCAGTCTCCATCTACACTGCAGGAGCCAGGCCTGTCCCTTCTCAGCCTCAACACTGGTCCCATGGGTATGGGGAGGGTCATTCTGTGTGTTGTGTGATGTTTGTCTCTACATTAGGCTTCCTGTCAGATGACTCAGTGAATAAGCTGCCATATTACACCAGGGACGGTGAGGAGTACAGTGACTACAGATCTGCACCAGGTAATGGAGGTGAACCCACCTTGGCTGGGCTTTGGGGAGGAGAGTTTCCCTCATAGAGACAAGATGCAAGGGGAACAGTCTTCCTTTGATGGACCAGAGGCATTCCTTGTGTCCAGATAGGGTTCGGCCTTCTCCTTCTCTGGCTGTTCTGTGATGTCTCACATTGGGGCTGGGCTCTCTGTGTCCAGAATCACAACAGGAACACAATGTTTTAAAAAATAACATCTGTAAAGCACAGTTTGTCAAAGTACTTTAGTAACATTCAAAGGTGTAAGAATTGCTTTGAGATATGTAGTTTCCATCAGGAAATGTTAGGATATATAAAAATCATGTTTTGGTTTGTGGGTACATCAAAATGAAACATGGTCTTAGAGAAAAAATCTTTTGAAACAAGAAGTGACTATTTAGCAACTCAGAATCTCTTGATCATAAGGGATCTTAAATATTTCCCAGACCAACCCACTTGTGGTTTCATCAGACCCCCTTGTCTGTTCTTGGAACCCCCAGATCAGAGGACTGATGTCCCTGCTGAAAATTATGATGATGCTGAAGAGGTACCAGTGCCTGGGGCTCTTCCTGCCTCTCAGGGGAGAGAGGAGAAAGTGCCCCCAGAGAAGGAGGATGGGGTGAGGTCTTCTCAGAAAGGTGAGTTGGGTCAGCTGATTTCCTGCAATCTTTCTATCTGGGAAGGGTGAATTTGTGCTCCTCAAAGCCCATCTTCCCTAGATATTTGAAATATAAGTAATCTCATACATTTGATAGCATCATCTTGACCGTATGCCATCTCTAATGCTGTTAGACTCCTTGTAAGGAGTGAGGAATCACTCTGCTTTTGGCATTTATGTCTCCATAATGTGACATAAACTTATCATTTTATATGTGATATACTTGCATTAAGATTTATAGATTATGGAATTTCCTGGTGGTCCAGTGGTTTGGACTCTGCACTTTCACTGCTAGGGCGCAGGTCCAATCCTGGTCAAAGAACTAAGATCCCACAAGCATTGTGTCATGGCCAAAAGAGAAACTTATTGATTAATTGAGCATATTTATAAAGAAAGGTAGGTGCCAAAGAATTGATGCTTTGGAACTACGGTGTTGGAGAAGACTCTTGAGAGTCTGTTGGACTGCAAGGAAATCAAACCAGTCCACCCTAAAGGAAATCAGTCCTGAATATTCATTGGAAGGACTGATGCTGAAGCTGAAACTCCAATATTTTTGCCACCTGATGCGAAGAACTGACTCATTTGAAAAGACCCTGGTGCTGGGAAAGATTGAGGGAAGGAGTAGAAGGGACTGACAGATAATGAGATTGTTGGATGGCATCACTGACTTGATGGACCTGAGTTTGAGTAAGCTCCAGGAGTTGGTGATGGATAGGGAAGCCTGGAGTGCTGCAGTCCATTCAGTGGCAAAGAGTCAGACATGACTCAGTGGCTGAACTGAACTGATACATGAAAGATAGAGATTTTTAAAAAATATATTGCAGTATTGAATTGGGTGAAGCATTTTTATAATTTAAGATGAGCTCTGTTTATTGGTTAACATCAACAAGTACAAAGTCTATGATATACGGTGACCTGAACATTATAACATGGTGGTGGATCATAGACTCAGCATTTGTGATCAGTTAAGCTCTAATTTGCTCCAGTTATTTCAGTAGCCAGGAGAAGACACTCATTCACTAGAAAAGAATATTTCTCCATTTGAGGGCCTGGGTAGTCTCTGGGGAGGGGCCATCTGTGGCTGCACCTGTGATACTATTTGTGGACATTTGGGATCAGAGGTCAAGTCAAGTAAGAGCAAACTTGTGTTGTGAGTGAGGAATTCAGATGGTTCCTGTCTCCCGACTCCCTCTTATCGTGACTTTGCATCTATCACCTGTGAAAGGAGAACATTTAAATTCCTTTTTATGATTCGTGCTGTTGTTGGGCATCTCCTTGGTACTGTGTAGCCTGGAGGCAGGTCTTCCCGGAGGTCCTGTGTGAGCACAGGTCTCCTGTGATGCAGGGTTTCCACATGAGCTGAGGCCCCAGAGACCACATGGACTGGATCTGAGAGGACAGCTAGGATCCATCCTCACTATAACTGATATGAAATAGCCTGAGCCTCCCTGCCCACACCTGGGTCCCAGGGATGCTCTGTCATCACCAGTTGCTTGGTTCCCTTCCACCATAGGGCTCTGTCCCATCCCCTTGTCTCAGTTCTAATCAAACTTCTCTTTACTATTTCAGGCTCTTCTCTGAACTTCTCCAGAGAGGTGGCTGATCCTGGGGAAGAAGAGAGTCCCTGGCTGTTCCAGGGGAAGAAAGGGGACCCTGAGTATGATGACGTTGAACTAAGTGCCCTGGGAACACCCCCAGTGACATTCCCATGATCTTGTGTTAAATATGAGATGAAGCCTCAGATATTCTAATTGCCTGCCTTTCAGTAGAGAAGTGCTGACCTGTAACTGTTTTATATGGAAATTGCTCAAAATGAAATATTCTGAATAAAGTAACTTTTTGCTGTGTTGGTAATATAGCAAGTTCCACGACAAATGCTTTTAGAAGATTGGTCCTCAAACTCCATTTTCCTTACAGGAAATACAAGATGGATGAGCTGACCTGCTCTATCACCTGTCTTAGAGGCTAATGAGGGCATGATTTTGCCCTGGATCACAAATGCTCCATGTCACTCTTATTTAGAAAAGGATGTAAACTTGGTCTACATTCACACACTCCTTCCTAACAAGATGAACTCATGGGAAAAAAAACCCAATTCTGAACTTTCCTGGATGCTCTCCCTGAGATGTCATATCACCTGTTTGTAACCTGTTCTTGGGGCACAAGACTAGGTCTGAGGTTCAAAGTGGAAGGTTGGCTGGCAGGAGAGAATGGATACAACTTTCCTTATCCTGCCTAAATGTTCACAGGACAGTTCAAAATCTAACTGTACACAGCTACGTCTTCCTTTTTCATCTCTCATTTATTCCTTACATGGATACAGACACCTCTTTTCTCTTCTCCCATGTC